CAATCTCACTTGAAGTTGTACTACAAGTAATTGATCCTTTTTTTTAACACCCAAAAATATATTATTCAAATATGTACCACGTGTCACTTGCTTTAATCTATACATATAATAAAAATTCCTCACAACAAATTGCTCATAATTTTTTTTTTTTGTATATTAAAAAACATTCGAGGGTGGTCAAAAAAGTTGAGGGTCGAAGGTAAAAGTCAAATTAATCACGTATGATATAAATAAAAAGTTTAATACACTTGGGTTATATATTATTATTTACAAAATAATATATACATGTATGCATGTTTTATCCATGCGATAAGTTTGAATTCAAGAACCTTATCCTATTTCATATCCAAGTAATTAATTTTTTAAAAAAAGTATAACATATTTTCTTGTATATATAGATAAAGGTGAAAATCAAAGTTGCGTTTGGGTGGAAGAATAGAATGGAGGCTCACGTGAAAAGCATGAGAGCAGCCGCACCCTATATTTTTCGCCCTTTTATTAATTTATTATAATCCTTCTCTTGAATTTTTTTAATTAATAAAAAGTATTGAAGTGGTTTACGAATAGAGAGCTTATCCATTACACCATTATAAATAATTGTAAGAGATTAACAAGGCAAGAAGAAGACCAAAGAGTACATCAAATTTCAAAATCCATTTTCTCTGTCTCCCTGTAGTTAACCCTTTTATCAATGGCTGCAAGGAAGATTTTCCCTGCAAGATTACCCAAATACATCTACCCAACGACAGATTCCCACAATCCAATCGGCACTCCCGCCGATTCTCAGTTGGAGTTCGACGAAGCCGATCTCTGGAATTTCAACGAGTTTTCTGCTTCACTCGATGCATCTGCCAAGTTCAAACCGCTACCCAATTCGCGTTCATCGAAGAAGAGTTCGTCGTCGTCGTCGAAGAAGACGGAAGTTGCATCAATGGTGTCTGCTTCATTGCCTCTCAAGATACCCGACTGGTCAAAGATTCTGAAGGATGAATACAGGGGAGGTGGAAAGAGAGAGAGCGACGAAGATGATGATGATGAAAATGACGACTGCATCAGCGGTGATGGTCTGGCAAGTAGAATCCCTCCCCATGAGTATTTAGCGAGGAGGAGAGGAGCTTCGTTTTCTGTTCATGAAGGGATTGGCCGTACACTCAAGGGTAGGGATTTGCGTCGGGTCAGAAATGCAATTTGGAAGAAAACTGGGTTTGAAGATTAGCAGAGACTGGGTCAGAGCCTGAGAAAGAGAGAGAAAGTAATATATATACACACACACATATATATACACAAACACATTAGATTCAGAGTTTTAAAGGGGAATTTTGAGGGGCCAGATTTTAAGCCAGCCACACCATCTTCCTCTCTCTCTCTTGATTTCTCTGTTGATCATCTCTGGTTTTGTATCGTGTTTGTTGTAATCTTCTCTAGAAGGTAAATTACTGAAATCTTACAGGGAAATCATCTGGTTTTGGATGTTTTGAGATCAAACCAGATGATCCCATTTTGTTATTATTATAATTAACTTATGAAATTCCAATTTTTTGTTAGATGGGTAGCTCTGTTTTCTGCGTCTGAATCTTTTAATTATGTTCTTCAATATAAATTGTTGATGTTGAGTTTGTATTGGTTTTATGTTGGGTGGTTGGCTTGAAAGGTACACACTAGCTAGTTAGCTGGCTAAAACAACACTTTGAAGTAAAATTAATTGTTCACGTTACTTCAATCAAAGCTTTATTCTAACCCTTTCTATTTTGTTTTATTCTCACCAACAAAATTAAATTTTACATTATGTTGCCAAACAATTCTCTCTAGTGTCAATAACAATGTTAAATAATTGAAATTCAAAGTTAAAGTTATATGTATATATAACATGGTTCTTAACATCTTATATTTGTTTAGAGATTTTGCAGCATGTAAAAATGAATAAATAAATAAATAAGAACCAATAATACATGGGACTTGTCGGTTGTGGTTTGTTGATTTTGTAGATTAATATAATTGGTGCATACCCATTTGTACATAATTTATGTACAATGTTTTTTTTATTTATTATTATAATATATATTTATTTTATTTTTAGGTAACAGTCGAAATTAAAACTTTAGAAGATAATAAACAAAAATGTAGATAATGGTTTGTAAAAGTTTATTGGTTTATTCATAATGTAAATTTAGCATTAAACGTGTCGTCATGTTGTTGTTTTTACTATTATTTTTTTGGTTGTAAACAAAGTGAATTTATTATTTTTCTTATATATGTGTCCTTTAAAATTAGTTATGTACTTTTGTTGACCAAGATGGTCATAACAAATAGGGATTAAGGTACAAAAGTCAACAAAATGGGTAGAAAATTAATGAAATATTACATTGTTTGGATAAGATAATGATGAAAATTTAGTAAAACATATTTCACCTTGCTTTTTATGAGAGGTAAATACAGAATTAAGTTTTGATTTTACTACAAAAAAGTATAATCATGTCTAATCACGTAATAATGCAACAAATATATATATATATATATATAAGTACGGAGAAATAAAATTTGAGAGTTGGATGAAAATTTTAAAAGGGAGAAATCATTATGCATTGTGCAATTCACAGGTTCATTGAATTTTTTTTCTTTTTTAAAACTAAAAATAATGATCACAAAAAACAAGTTATAGAATCATATTTTATAATAAAAATATATTTAATAAATTGGTCATATACTTTCACATTAGTGGATCTCTTGAATGTAGACACACACACACACACGCACATACGCACAACTGAAACTTTTACGAGGAAAACTTTACAAAACTGGAGAAGAAAAAATGAGAGAAAATCCCAAGAGCCCACATGAAAAAATGGATTATCCCATGTTTGGATTTTGACTAAACGAGGCATAAGTTCAAGACAGGATTAATTTAACCAGGGAACCAAACTGGAAACTGATTCAACAACGATGTTTTTTTTTTTTTTTTTTTTTTTTAAAAGGTTTATTATCCAAACACGCCCTTAACTGTGGCAGCTGCTGATGTTAAATCAACAAACAACAGGCGCTGCTGGATTTGTAGTTTACTGAATCAAGGAAGTTTTTGTTGTTTGTGTTTTAATGAACTTCACTTTACACATGTACATAAACGTATAGATCTAGTGTCATTTGGCTTGTCGAGATATTTATTAATTTTTTGGTCCACGACACATAATTACTGCTAGTGCAAGTTTAAAACAGTAAAAAAAAAAAATTGTTACATTTCATTAAAACTACGGTAAATACAATGAGACTTAAAATAGAAAAAAGAAACAAGAAACAAGAAACAAGAGTTTTGGTAAGTTTAGGGGAAGTGAAATATGTGATTGAAGATAGAAATTTATCAAGGCAAAAGTTGGTCCAACAAATACAAATGGAAGAGCGCATGTTAAAACACTTTGGGGTCAACAATGTTTGTCCAGATTTTTCAATACTACATAAAATTAAAATGGGTCATGTTTAAACTTAGTTTATATAAATCAGAAAAGGTCTCACTTACGGACGGGGGACGGGCAACCCATTGTTGAGGGGAGCACTTCATATACATGCAACTTTAGCATCTATATCGTGCAGCAGCTTGTCACGGCTTTTTAATATGCAAGGTGAAGAGGTAAAAAACAAACATAAAGCTAGTTGTTTGGAGGATGATACAAATGAAATATCGATCACCGTCTACTCTAGAAGACACATATAACAGTTGCTTCCTGAGCTTTTTCTTTGAATGCACATGCTCACATTGTACAACTATTGTTGTCTCTAAATATTTCGTTGATGCAAAATGTGACTCTAATTTTTTGTATACTTATTTACGATTTATATCTTTTTGTAAATATTTGTTTCACTAGTAATAAAGATAATTTATATTCATAATAAAAATATTTTTAAATATTTGTGCATATGAATGCACCTGTGCTTTTGATTTAGGAGTAGAAACAAAATCATTATGTGAGTATGCATGAAGGTAGATCTATTATCTTGATGCCCTATGGAGAGACATACCGTAATACTCTCGTCCAATGAACATTCTAAAAGCATGTGTTATATATTGTCTGCTCTCTATATAGGTCACAGAACCCATAATACAAATTATGAGATAAAAATATCGATATTTGACATACTTGGTAAGCTCTTATGAAAGATTCACTAGCATAGGAATTTATGTATAGGGAGTAAATGAATCTTCCATAGGAGTTTTCAGTGTTCAAAGTGACTAAAAAGATGTAGTGAGTTAAAACAAAATTGACTCAAACAATAAATTGAATTAGTAATGTCTTTTAAAAATAAAAATAAAAAAATAATTTTTTTTTGGTTGGGTGTTACAACTCTCTCTCTCCCCTTCTTAAAAAAAATTTGGTTCCTAAAATTTGTCTCTCTCTTTCTTGTTTTCCCTTAGTTTCCGTTACCAAATCAAACATAATCACACAAACAAATGAACATGCATCCGGTAATGCAATCATATCTTAAATTCCAAAATCAAACAGTGGTCAAGTAAGGCAGTAATACATGCATTTAAACCATAAAATAAATAAATCAGATACCATCATGCTTTTAGACTGCAAAGTAAATCAACAGAGAACAATGTCCGGTTCGAACTCCATTAGCAATTTATAATTAATTATACACATTTATTTAATTTGTACAAAATACCGCATTATTATTTATTCAAACTTCAATTCTATGATAGAAAATAGGGTGAGGGGTCCTTATTTGATTTGACGCTGAAAAGTTAAATGGCTTACTGCGCCTACGGGCAGTCCCTAGGTTCCTTGAATTTTTATTCGGGAACTAAAACGCACTTATGATACCTACAAATGTCTCAAATAAATCCAAAAATCAGTTTCAGGACCTACTCGCCCAATTTCAGAAATCCGACACAGCAGTTTCGCTGTGCTTTGGCGGCGGCGGTCTGCCTCGGGTCATCGTTTTCAGTCAATTTTATATCGATTCCTGAGAGCACACACGCTAAAGGGCCTCGGTGGGTCAAAAAAATATGAAAACCCGAAACTCACCGGTGGGGAGGGCTCTCCGGTGCGGGGGCTCCTCCGGTTCACGTTGCGGTTAAGTGTTTCGCTTCGGTCAACCTGTAGAGGAGAAAACGGTGATCACAACGGTGAAAAAATTATACGAAACGGGAATCGGGAAGGGCCTCATCGGAGGCGGTTTGTGAAATTCCCCGCGGCGCCGCAGGGCTTCGGCGGTGTTTTCCGGCCAATTGACCGGTTCTTTTACTCCGATTTGACCATACATTGGTTTCAAATTGAATTTTGTGCAAAAAAAAAAAATTTTACCTTTTTTTGCAGTCGTAAAAGGTTCCGGTGCACCAACGGGTGACGGCGGTCGGCTCCCCGGCGGCTGGGTTGTCTTCTCTGGTGAGGGGTTCTGGCGGCTAGGGTTAGGGTTTGGGTGCCAATGGGGTTATTTATACCCATCCGTTTTTGATCTAGGTCGTCCATCGCTTTTGATCTGTACCGTCTGATCGCGATTAAATAGGGAGTGAATCTAGACCGTTCATCGCGATTCAATCTGGGACGTCCGTGCGCGATTCAATCTAGGTCGTCCGTGCGCGCGGGAATGGACCCCAGCCGTTCGATTACGCGCACGCGGATTGCCCACGTGGCCTCCCGCGTCAACGCCTCTGCCACTTGGCGCATCCTGGTTGGTCGGAGCTGCTGACCGAGCGTTTAACGTGGCGTAATTTTTTTAAATTACGTTTTGACCCTCAGTTTTCGATTTTTCTTTCAAAAATACCCCAAGAACCATAGTAACGAAAATAATATTAAATTAATATCGTAAGATTTCAAAAGTTAATTATTTTATTTTATCATTTAACTTCCTCGTTTACCTATCTCACATTATGAAAAATCATTTATTGTTAAGAAAATGATATATTAATACAGAAAATCAAATATACATCATGTCAGATAATAAAAAAAATCAAAAAATCATGAAATACTCAGATTTTCGTGTCATGTTTCGTGAAGTCGTTACAACTTTCATTTCTAAGGACAGATACAGATTTCTAACTACCCAAGTGGAATGAGTAGATCAGATACAAGTACGACAATTTACTCAAACCCATTTTCGGCTGGCCAGACCATAGTACGATCTATAACCATGATCGTACCAGTCATAGTAGTCCTAACAGATATTTATAGTCACGACATTACTTAGTCACTGGTGACCCTTACAGATAGTGTAATACCACTCTTGTAAGAGGGTACGCTGTCATCCACCAAGAGTAATACTCTTATGTCTTTCCATATTAGATATTGGAGGGGAAAACAAATACCCTGAAGGGTAAGGAGAACATATACCCCTCAGAGATAAAAAGTCTAACGAGATACTTGATGCAATATATATGTCAATATAGATACACTTCGAACCATACAAGCTTCATTCCACTTTTTTCTTTTTTATACTTTTTACTGTTACTGATTACATATTATGTTTATTACATACAAATCATC